TTATTTTAAAAAAAGAACTTATAAATTGAAAGTGAATGCATAATTTATATGACTAGTAAGAATTTGACCTGCAGAAACAAGGAAAGTAGTATTTATTTTGTATGACAGTCCTACAGGTAGGTAGAGATATTCTCATTTTATTTATTTAAACAATTTTTTAAAAAGATTTTGTTTATTGTTTGAGAGAGTGTGCACAAGCAGAGGAAGCAACAGGCAGAGGGAGAAGTAGGCTCCCCACTGAGCAGAGAGCCCCACTTGGGCTTAACCAACTGAGCCACCCAGGTGTCTAATATTCTTATTTTATAGATGGGAAAAATGAGGCTCACAGTGGTTACGGTACTTGCCTTAGGTCACATTAGTAAAAATGATGTCACATGGATCCATTCTTAGTCTTTCTACTGTTTAGTTACTACTTTTCTCCAGTTTCTGGAGAATCCAATGCAGGAGTCCCCAGCTTTTTTTTTTTTTTTTTTTTAATTAAAGAAGCTGTGTGTGCATGTATATGTGTGTGTACATGCACATTCCTTGGAAGAGGAGATACATGTCTTTGGAAAAGATGTCTATCTTTCGGGAATGTGCTCATCTGTCAGCGGAGATATTTATGAGGTTACCTTTCCAAATCAACAGGCACATTGTGTGTGGGGGGTACCTCTGTTTGTGGGGCTCTGTATCGATTTACTGTGTGAAGGTGAGATTGTAAGTGTGCCAATACTTCACATCTTTGTGTGTATGTTAGGATGGGGTAGGGGGCTGGAAAGGGTATTGCTATATTTGCTATATAGAATATTCCCCAGGGATCATAGAAAGTTGAGATTATTGACAGAAAAGATCCTGGACAAAGGCCCTGAAGAGAATACAACCATGTAAGCCAGATGTAGAGTTCTCCTTTATTGTTTAATCACATAGCTTGCTGGCCGGAATAGTAATTTTAATGCAGGTGAAACAAATAGAACTAGCAGAACAAATAAAAAAATGCTTTGTGAATGCAGCTAAATCTTTCTCTTTTAAAATACGAAACCAATAGGTGCTTTTAAAATGCTTATGGATTTGCTATTATTTTTCTGAAGTGATTTTTGGAAGGAAAAGAGTGGTCTAGGCATTTTATTCAATCTTATTTTTGTTTTGTTTTTCATTTTTTTAATTTGAATTCAATTAATTTACATATGGGGTGTTACTAGTTTCAGAGGTGTAGAGTTCAGTGGTTCTCAGTCTTATGTAACACCCAGTGCTCATTACATTGTGCCCTCTTTAATGTCCATGTTCAATCTTATTTTAAAAAACCCACTTATTATTTCTATTTAATGATTTAACATATTTATCGAGCACCTCCTATGTACCAGGCATTGTTTTAAGGATATAATAGTAAACACAACAGGAAAAATGCTTCTCTAATGGAGTTTGCATTCTATTGGGGGGAGGCAACAATAAATAAATATTAATGCCAAAGAAGTTGGAAAGATAGGGTAGGTATTGTTGAGGGGATCTTCCAGTATTTTAGTATCAAGTATTTAGTGTTTGTCAATGTTGTCAAAATGTTTTCAGAGATTAATACCTTTATCTTTGTGCCTTGGTGTCCTTATTAAGTTAATGTAGCCACATTCAAATCATATCAGTTATTCTGAAAGAAGAGAATCAGTTGTGCATGTCCAGTAAGTTAGTGATGAAATTGAGAGGAATCTTATTTCCATTTTTATACAGTCACTTTTTGTTTATTCATCACTGCTGATCCAATTAGGGGCTAATTCAGACTCTTAATTTTCCCCATTGCTGCTACTACAGCTCATCCACTGGCTTTTATAACATGGTCCTAATGATCAGGGCATTTGTATTCAGGGACCCTGGTAAACTATTCTGTAAGTAAATTTGAAAACAAATGACCTAATGAGTTTTGAGGTAGATTTTGATTGAGTAGTTTATGACCTTGAAGAATTGCATAATAATTCATTCCTACTTGTATGGATCAATGGGGGAATAGAAAAATTTGCCACTTTGCAGTTATTATGCTTCTACATATAGGGTTTTCAAAAATTCTAAGATCCGTGTGTGGATATTTTTATTTTACTTAGGAGTATGATTTGTGGTAAGATGCTGTTATTCTTTGAAACAAATGAGTCCTATGTGCTAAGAATTGTAGATACCAGGGATACAACATTGGATAAAGCAAGTTCCTTCTCTTACAGATCTTGCTTCATTCAAGTTGGGAGGGATTCAGGTAATTAACAAGTAAATATATATAGCCTTGAGGAATGAGTGAGGAAAATATGGCATTTAGGAAAATCAGATTCAGTAGAATAGGGAGTGCTGGTTGTGGAGAGGGCTCTCTTTTACATAGGGAAGTCAGTAAAGGTTTTATTGTTTGGGGATAGTTAAACAGAAACATGAAACAAGTAAGGAAATGAGTTGTAAATGTCTGGGGAAAGAACATTTCCTGTTTGTTCATATCATTACCAAAGTTGAGACCAGTTTTTTGGAGAGATTAGGAGAGAAGAGTATGGATCCTGTAGGATTTTATAGGTCACTTAAAGGACCTTGATATTAATCTGAATGGAAGGGGAAGCCATCAAAAAGTTAGGGAACAGAAGAGTAACATGATTTCAGTTAGGTTTTTGTAAGATCTGTAAAGATGTGTAAAGCACCCATGTAAGGGGAATAAGGGCAGAAGCATGGAGACTAGTTAGGAGACTCATGTATTAAAACAGGTGTAAGTTGATGGTGACTTGAGCCAGAGTGGTGAGAAGTGGTTGGATTTTGGATATATGTTGAAAGGAAATCTGACAGAATTTGCTGATACTATCTGGGACACGAAAGAGAGAATTTTTTTGGCTTGAGTAATTGAAAAGATTGACTTAGTATTGATAAGATGGGGAATATTGTGGATTACGTTTGGTCATCTGAGAAAAGCAGATGTTCAGTTGGAAATATCAAGTGTGAGATACCTGTTAATGTATCAAATTGGAAATATTTGAGTAATTTTCTGGGTAGTTGACCCTGGCATTTTGGGAAGAGGTTGTGGATGATTACTGAGGAAAGGTTTAAAACTAATTAGTGGTAGAGTTTGATGATTTACTTAAAAATGGATGATGATATTTATTACTATCATGTCTTAGAATGCTCCAAATGTATTAAAAAACAGTGGTTCCTATTCTTTTTATTTTAATTTTAGGAATTTGGCCTATAGCAAGAAAAAGGGGTAAAACACTTGATTGTAATAGTTTAGGGGATTGTCTTAGTTTTTAGGCCTGTGATAAGTCTGAAGAAACAGGAGGAAACATAGGCCAAGAGTTATTTAAAAAATGCCAGAAAAATTACAGCTCCTAAACATTGTTTTTTTGTTTGTTTGTTCTTTTTAAGGATTAGGCTTATCTTTTTCTTTTCTTAATTAGGAAGTGGTGAGAAAAAAAACCTAGATTGGAGTAGAACTAAAAGTATTACTGTATAAAAAATGAATGTTGTTGATTCATTTTCCAAGGTTTATTTTTGAAGTGTGAGTGACAGTATTTTTCGTTTGTTCATTTAAACTAAAATTTACATTTATTTAGGGTCTTTGACATTTCTTACGCTTTTTTATTTTCTAGTAACTAGAGAAGAAATTAATTTTGGTGTAATTTGGTATATTACTAAAGGTGTGTACTTCATATTTAAACACAGCTTAAGCTACTGTAATGAAAGTAACAGTTCTCCATAGCCATTTTAAAAAAATAAGCCCTTCTAACTGATCATATCTAATTTTAATTGTCCTTCAATTGAATTTGATAGAGAGAAAAATGAATAAAGGTTAAAAAAAGGCAGTCTCAAAAAAAAACATGTATAATGTAAGAACACACTAAAGAAAGCACTATGGTACCTTTTTTCTGACCCTCTTTGGTTGACATGTGATACAGTGTCTTATTTTCTCAGTAGAAACAAGTACCCCATCTATCATTTTGTTGTTGGATTTAATAATTACTATTGTTACTTATACCTAAGGTAATTATGTCCTTTACTTGAGAAGATTATTGTTTGAAGTCTGCAGTTTATAAGATCTTGGTTTTGGTATTGTGTAGTTTTATTTAAAGAAAATTTTTTTAAGATTTTGGTTTATTTATCAAAGAGAGAGTGAGAGTGAGAGAGCACAAGCAGGGGGAGCAGCAGGCAGAGGGAGAAGCAGGCTTCCCGCTGAGCAGGGAGCCCAATGTGGGACTCGATCCCAGGACCCTGGGATCATGACCTGAGCCAAAGGCAGATGCTTAACCAACTGAGCCACCCACGCATACCGTAGTATTGTGTAGTTTTAAAAAATAAACTAGTATTTATGAAAAATCTTTGTTTCTGTGATACAAAAATTTAAATACTAATGTGATGTTTAAATGCATCATACTTTGAACATTTTGCTATTCATATACTTTATTAGAAATTTATTATTAGGATAAAGTTTTACTTTTGGTCTGTAAAGGCCACTTTGCTGTTTTTAGCATAAAATCTTTAAATTCTGTTATACAGCCAGAATTTAGAAATCCAGGTTGTTTTAGAATGCTAAACTGGAATACTACAGTAACATCAGCTTTTTTCTTTCTTTTGCTGGTGTTTTATATATTTTTAAAATATATTTATAAGGACGCCTGGGTGGCTGAGTCGGTTAAGTGTCTGCCTTTGATGCAGGTCATGATCCCAGGGTCCTGGGATCAAGTCCCACATTGGGCTCCTTGCTCAGCAGGGAGTCTGCTTCTCCTTCTGCCTACCACTCCCCCCCTCCCCCGCTTATGCTCTCTCTTTGACAAAAAAATAAAATCTTAAAAAAAGAAAAAGAAACTTAAAAAAATAAAGTAAAATATATTTATATATTTTGTATATTTATGTTATATATATTAAATAAATTATATATTTTTAAGTTTTTGAAATTCTCTTGATCATAGAATTATGTTTTAAAATAGTTATTTTAGCTGTGAGAAAAAATTTGACTAAAAACTTTAAGTTTTTAAAAAAGTTGACTAAAAACTTTTTTTTGTAATTGTTATGTTTAGATCCAAAGGCGGAAACCAGATTATACATCACAGTCAATGACTTTGAATTTCATGTCTATAATCGTTCGGATCTTTATGGACGTCTTCAAGAATTGTTTGGTTTGGAACCAACAATAATTCCACCCAAGAAAGAGGATGATAAAACACGGGAAAATGGAAGAACAAGAACCCAGTCCAAAATTGAAAGGTTCATAGTCACACTTGAATTTTATTAATCTCTAACATTTAACATTCACTTTTATTAGAATATCGTCGATGCTACTCACCTAAACCTAGCCTAGTCTTTCTTTGTGGTTTGACTAAAACTTACATTCACATAAATTATATAATTCCTTTATAATACAGAATTATATAATGTAAAAAGCAGTCTTGTTCTGCTTACTAGTTCTACTTACCTCCATATTGATAACTACTGTTGTCTATTTGTGTTTTTTCCTTTTGAGTGCATGTACATAAATATATACACATATATACATAGTTAAGATACAAATATATGATTTTGTTTTATTTGTTTCTGGGCTCTCTACATTGTTTCTGTTACATTGACTTATGTATCTATTTTTTCACCAGTACCTCACTATCTTGATTACTGTAGTTGTACAGTAAGTCTTGTAGTCAGGTAGTGTCAGTCCTCTAACTTTGTTGTTTTCCTTCAATGGTATGTTGGCTATTATGGGTCTTTTGCTTCTCCATATATACTTTGGAATCAATTTGTCAATATTCACAAAACAACTTGTTGGGATTTCAGTTTGGATTATATTGAATCTATAGATCAAGTTAGGAAAAACTTAACATCTTAATCATATTGAATCTTCATATCAGTGACATGAAATATCTCTCCATTTATTTGATTGCTTGCTATCTTTCATCACAATTTTATACTTTTCCTTATGTAGATCTTCTATATATATTGTTAAATTTATATCTAAGTATTTCATTTTTATGGTGCTAATGTAAATGGTATTGTGGTTTTAATTTCAAATTTCACTTGTTCGTTGCTGGTATTTGGGAAAGTGATTGTTGTTTATTATTAATCTTGAATCCCACAACCTTGTTATAATCACTTATTGGTTCCAGGAGTTTTGTCAGTTCTTCCCGATTGTCTACACAGATGATTGTGTCATCTGCAAACAAAGAAAGTCTTATTTCTTTCTTTCCCACCTTAATCCACTCTAGCCTCAGTAAACAACTTCTTTGTTGTATATGATGTTTCTTCTCTATGGAAGACTCATCTTCTTTGCCTAATTCATTCGCCCTTCAGGTCTCCCTGATCCTTCTATGTGTGCCCACAGAATTCTATTCTTTTTCCTAAGGTAACACTTCTTGCACTAAAATTGCCTATTGTAACTATTCTTACTCCCATTCTAGGGTACAGATTCCCTCAAAACAGAACAGTTGTCATATTCTCAGTATCCCCAATACCTCAGCTTGGTGCCTTGGACATAATATCCATGGAGTATTTAGTTGGGAATAAATATCCTCATCATCTACTTAAAAAACTATTAGGTAAACAAGGCTAGTTCAACATTCAAAAATCAATTAACATGCTAAAAATGAAAAATCAAATGATCATATCAATAGATGCAGAATAAGTATTTGACAAAATCCAACACTCATTCATGATTAAAATCTCACAGTAAACTAGGAATAAAGGAGAACTTCTTTGACTTGATAAAGAATATCTATAGAAACCCTATGGTTAACAGTATACTTAATGGTAAGAAAATAGAAGCTTTCTCACTAAGATCAGGTACAAAGCAAGGTTGTCCCCTTAAACCACTCCTTTTCAACTTTGTACTGGAAGTACTACCTACTGCAATAAGACAAAAGGAAATAAAAGTTATACAGTTTGAGGAAGAAGAAAGATGTGACAGTTCAGGGAAGAGATGATCATCAATTGGGTTGGTAACAAGGAGAAGGGAGAGAAGTGGATGGATTCTAGATATACTTAGGCAAATGAATCCATAAGACAGTGATAGATTAGGTGTGGAGAATGAGTAAGAAGGATGAGTTAATAATGAATCCAGTTTCTAATTTAATTAGTGGTCATGCTCATGGAACCTCAGAGAAAGAGCAGGTTAGAGGGGAGATAGTGAGGTCAGTTTCAAATTTAGTTTTAAGCACTGAGGGCTACCTTAGTGGAGATGGCCTCAGAAATATGATTTAGGAGTTACTGGGTTATTGAAGAGTTATGCCTTGAGTTCTCATCTGAAATCATTGGTGACTTGCTGTGAAATTTTCATATCTTAAATTTTGTGTACTTTGTATGTGACCAGTTTCTTTTTTTCTTATTCTTGACCTATCATTTTCATTTTACCGAGAGGAAATTATTCTGTCACAAAGTGATAGGGATAAGGAAGGGAAAGGATCAGCTGAGTTGTCAAAAGTGCTTAAAACAGTAGAAAATATCAATGTGACTTGTACCTTGGTTATTTGTTATTTTAGTAATTAGTAATTAGGTTGTCTTATAGAATGTCATAGTGAGTATAATGGTCTATGTAATGACAACATATCATAATTTATACTTTTGTCATTAAAACTTATTACTCTAAAAACATAATTTTGTTATTATACCTTGCCAGTCTAAAAATTGATATATGATAGAGTGCCTTCCAAGAGATATTTGAGAGATATTAGTATTCTGTTAGATGTTGTCATTATTTGTTTACTGGAGCAATCGCTAGTAGATGTATTTGGAAAGTTACAGCTGGTATTACTGTGTATTATGAAGAAGTCAGCTGTGTTCTCAGCTATTTAAGCTTTTCTTATGTATGTCTATTTCTATTTTTATTTTTATTTTTCTCAGAGTTAAAGTAAAAACAGAATCTCAAGACCCAACATCTTCATGGAGATCACTTATTCCAGTCATAAAGGTCAATGTGAGCACAGTAAGTAAATTCTGCTGCAATTAATGTTTGATGGGTTAATAATGAAACTCTTATTTTTGCAAATAAAATTTTCACTTAAGAAAGTAATTTTGGGGTTCCAAAGTTCATAAAAGTGTGAAAGAATTATTTCAATGCCAATACCATCTTAGCACACATTTATTAGGTCTTAAGGGCTACTTTATTCACAAGTACTTAGATTTCTTTAAACACTGGTCTAGATTGATCAGTGGAGTAATTTGGATAGTGTATAGTGCTAAAGTGGAATCATTTAGTTGTTGCTTGAAAATGTTTGTTATTAGGTCAACTAAGGAAAAATATATGGTCTGTATATTACAGCATAATTTCTCTTATCCATCTTTTAGGGACGTTTGGCCTTTGGAAATCATTACCAACCTCAAACTCTATGTATCAACTTTGATGATGCTTTCTTAACTTATACTACAAAACCACCTTCTAGTCATCTTGACCAATTCATGCATATTGTGAAAGGGAAGCTTGAAAATGTTCGAGTAATGCTTGTTCCTAGTCCAAGATATGTTGGTCTTCAAAATGATGAGTAAGATAGTCTTATAAATTGTCTTTCTCTGATTGACTTATTTCACTTAGCGTAATTCCCTCCAGTTCCATCCATGTCAATGCAAATGGTAGGTATTCATCCTTTCTGAAGGCTAAGTAACATTCCATCATATGTATGAACCACATCTTCTTAATCCATTCGTCTGTTGAAGGACATCTTGGCTCCTTCCATAGTTTGGCTATTGTGGACAAATTGGAAGAAATCAGAGAGGGAGACAAGCCATGAGAGGCTCTGGACTCCAGGAAACAAACTGAGGGTTACAGAAGGGAGGGGGGTGGGGGATGGGGTAACCAGGTGATGGGTATTAAGGAGGGCACATGTTGTGATGAGCACTGGGTGTTATATGCAACTAATGAATTGTTGAACACACATCAAAAACCAATGATATACTCTATGTTGGGCATATTTCTCTATTAAATCAGTTAACAGTGTAGTCTTGTTTTATAATTATAAATGGATATATTATCCATTGATGAACTCTAATTTTAAATATTTTCCTCTAAGATTATTACTATAAATTTTCTACCCTTTTCTCCTCCTCAGTATACTTGGGAAACTTATTTTGGGCATTTAAGCCAAACCTAATGTTTGTAGGTTAGAAAATGTTCGAACTGCATTCAACAAATGCAGTATAGTGGAATACCATTTTGAGTTAATAAAAAGTTGAAAATTGAATCTAAATTACTCTTAGAAAACTGGTGAAGTTTGGATGATACAGTTTTAGAACTGTCCCAGCTTTTGTTTTTGTGTGCAGGCAGTATGAAATTTATGAGGTTATAAAAAGCATAATTATTCCTTCTTAGTTCCAACTTTTGGCTAGCTTGCTTATTAGATTTCTCCATCATTAGGATGATGGAGAGGTTTTTCCCTACGTGAGTAGCAGAGAGGCTGTGGGTTTACCTCATCTTATTCTTCATAATCACAGACTTTGCTAAGCATCTTGTAGAATATGGACTGTGTACACAATTCTATATATTATGGGTAAAAGTTATAATACTGAATAAATCTGGACTTTGTGAACTTTACTAGAGTAAGATAAAAAGGTGTTTTATTAATTTTTATAAAAAGATGTAAAATTGTATTTTTCACTCTTCAAAGTAAGTTTGGAAATTAAATGATACTAGACATTAACCTTTGTCATTTAATACATATTTAGAAGAAGATTGTTGAATTTGTATATATTATCTAATGATTGAGAAGTTAATTTTGATATGGAAGGAAGATGTGGTATATGAATGAAAAAGAGAAAAGTTGTTGAATCAAAGCAAGTAAAGATTAGAAGTTTGTGGGAAAGTGATTGTAGAGAAACATTCATTCCAGAATTTTTTCAAGTTGATCAACTAAATATTCTTGCAAATAGATAATATAAAGACAAAGATGATATAAAGTTGTTAAAAATAAAAATGACAGTATTTTTCTTATTTAATGTTTCTGACAGATTAAACTTTATTTTACAGATATAATAAAATATTTCCTGTTAAGTTATAAAGTATTATTAATATAAAATGGTTGAATTTTAAGTTTAATTTTAAATTTTTGTTGTAAATGCAGAATATGATTATTCCAATGATCATTCTTCTTCCATTGTATTTAATTAAACTTTGCTTTAAATTGAATTCTCTCATTTAAAACTTAAAAATATAAAACAAATTTTCATTTTTTCTTTTTGAAACTAATATATTGACTAAAAATTTTTCAGTACCAATTTATTATTTAGTCTAATATAGAATACAACTATGCAAAACTTCATTGTCTATGTAAAAGATGTTTTGTTTTCCTTTTTCAGTATGCTACACTTGATTGCTTTTGAGATTTTTTTTCTCTTTTTGTTCTCAATTATTACTACCATAATTAGAATTCAGAACATTTTATATTCTGGAGATGTACTTAGTTTGCCATCCCCCCTCCTTCTTATAGACCACCAAGATTAATGGGAGAAGGATTTGTGGTGATGCAGTCAAATGATGTTGACATCTACTACTACATGGATGAACCAGGTATTAGTCTTTGAAAGTGTGTTTCATAGCTACACTTCTATTCTATGAAATGTTGATAGTTAATAATATTTTAAGTCTTCTTAGTTAAGATAAAATGAACATCAATAAATTGTAAATGTGGATGGAAGAGTACCTACCTAAAAATTGTCTGTGTCATTTATCAAAAATTGAATATTACTATTTCAGACCAAAGGAACAATATAGGAATCTTTTGTTCTATTTTCAGAAGTATACCTCAGAAATTGTGAATGCAAGTAACCTGGTCTAAAAACCTTTAGAGAATGTGGTGACAGTTAAGGTAGTTCATGCTAGCTTAAAAAAAAAAAAAATCCTTTGAGGCTTGAAGTTTAAGGATTGAAATCTAGCTGGTTAGAGTGCTTCACAGGTGGCTTGAATTTTATGAAAGTAGCTAAACATTGGATTTTTAAGCCTTTTTCCCTACTTCTGGTTTTTTATGCCTTTCATGGGGTTTATGAGGTCAGAGTATTTTCAGAGTAAAACTAGGATATTACTTGCCTTTTTCACCATATGACATTTGCACTGCTGGTACAAAAGCAATGGTGGGTGAAAGTTTTGGTGCTTTAGCATGAATTAAGGCAGTGGTTCCAAACTATACTAGTCATCACTTCTTTTTCACTGCCACCCATTTGCAGTAAAACAAATGCCAGTATCAGTTTAAAAAACTTTGATTAAGCAGTAAAAATTGTTTTTGTCAAATCTTGACCCTTGAATAAACTTTTTAATATTCAGTGTGAAAAAACGGCAAGTATACATAATATACTTCTGCTACATACCAAAGTATACTGATGTTTGGAGGAAAAGCACTTGTATAGTTGAGTTTCTAGCTGAATTATTTGCTCTTTTCATGGAGCACCAGTTTTACTTGAAGGAGCAACTAGAGACAAATGATTTTGAGTTTCCATATGAGAATCAGAATTTTGGAAAATTTGGGTCTGCCACTGTGAGTTTAAGGACTTTTCTGATAAGACCACCAGTGATATTAACAAATGTGATTTTAAAAATGTTTAATGATGAAATTTATCAATATTTGGAAAACATATGTGTGTCTCTTTGAACCAATATTTTACAAATGCATGATGCTACAAAGTTATACCATGGGTAAAAGATATATTCAAAGTGTTAGATCAGTAAATTTTAATGTATTAGAGTATGAAAAATTCAGTATAGGGTTTCAGATTCCACACTGCAACTAACTTTTAAGAAACTACCACTTGTTGAATTTTGGCATAGTGTCAGAGAAGAATATCCAAAATTATCTGAAAAAGCTATTAAAATACTCCTCCCTTTTCTATATAGCTATTTGCTTGAGGATAGGTTTTCTTCAAATCCTTAAACAACAGATTAAATGCAGAAGCAGCTCTGAGAATTTGCTTATTTTCTATTAAGCTGGACAATAAAGAGATTTGCTGAAATAAAAACAATGCCAACACTTATTTCTGAATGAATTAGTTTTAGAAAATATGGTTATTTTTCATTAAAAAGTATTTTCATTAAAAATGGAATTAAAATTTCATTTAATTTTTATAAAATACTTTTTTCATATATTTTCATTAAATTTTATTAAATGAAATGTAATGAGTTCAATTTTATTTAACATTTCATTACATCAACATGCAATGAGTTGTTAAAATAAAATTTTTAAAAATTGCTCAATTTCAATTTTGAATACAGTAAATTATGATTGATATAATACCAAAAAATCCCACTGTGCATCCTTGGTAATTTTTAAGAGTGTAAAGGATTACTGAGAGCACAACATTTTTAGAATTCCTGATCTAGGGAATCTTGAAGCAGTAATTTTAAGTAATTGTCTTTCTGTTGTATATTCTGCAATATAGGACTTGTTCCAGAAGAAACAGAAGAAAATATTGAAGGAGAAATGAGCAGTGAGGATTGCAAATTACAAGATTTGCCTCCATGTTGGGGACTAGATATAGTTTGTGGTAAAGGAACAGATTTCAACTATGGGCCATGGGCCGATAGGCAAAGGTACTTGAGTAAATTATATTTCTAGTAAGTCTTTTAATGTATTAAGATAATGATATAAATTTTATTAAAAAGTAGCTTAATATTTTTATAAGCCATTTTATTATGGCAGAGTAAGATATCACTAAGCATTTTAATTCAAATTATAAGTTGTAAAGAAATTGGCATAAACAAGTGCACTCTGAAGGAGGGGCTAATTCCATTAGAAAAATGGTGAATGAGGAGCATATTGGTTTCTTTGTTTTTTCTTTTGTATTCAATGAGTTTGCCAGGGATTATTGGGCTGTGGAGATTCAGAGACAAAAGGGATGGGGTGGCTGGGTGATAGACATTGGGGAGGGTATGTGCTATGGTGAGCATTGTGAATTGTGTAAGACTGTTGAATCACAGACCTGTACCTCTGAAACAAATAATACATTATATGTTTAAAAAAAAAAGAAGAAGATAGCAGGAAGGGAAAAATGAAGGCGGGGGGGGAATCGGAGGGGAAGACGAACCATGAGAGACTATGGACTCTGAGAAACAAACTGAGGGTTCTAGAGGGGAGGGGGGTGGAAGGATGGGTTAGCCTGGTGATGGGTATCAAAGAGGGCACATTCTGCATGGAGCACTGGGTGTTATACGCAAACAACGAATCATGGAACACTACATCAAAAACTAATGATGTAATGTATGGTGATTT